CCTGGGGCAGTAAACCCAAGGCGCGTCAACGATTCTGCAACGCACCTGCCCGCCCCCAGGTCCCCCGCCCACGAGGTCTTACAGGGCGTCTCTTCCACTTCAACAGGCCCCCGCCCCGCCCACTCCTGAAGAGTTTTTTTTTTGACAGGCGCCCTGAACCCGAGCCAGCTCGGGTTGAGTTAAGAAAAAACTCGGACTAGTTTACCCGCCTGATGCAGGTCATTCCGAGCTGTCTAACAGGGGCTGCTGGTCTGGGGCGTGCTCACCCTCCTCCCGAAGCGGCCTGCGGGCCTGAGCTGACCAGTCGGGCTCGGCCCGGTCACCAGCCTCAGAATCGCTCGTTTCAGCAGCAGGGTCGAACACTTCACACGACACGCCAGCCAGCCTGGGATGCCTCCCCCTCCGCAGCGCCCTCAAGACCGAGGACGCGTACTTTGACTTCCTGGGCCCTTCGGGCTCTGGGATACAAGACTTACTCAGCGTCTTGAATCTTCCGCCACAGCTGTGCCCGCAGCAGAGATGACAAAAAATATAACATGCTTTGATTCGAACACTGAAGGGCCGTGATGGCGTGGCCCTTATCCCGCATGGAAAGGGCCACGTCAGGGAGCTGGCCCGAGCACCCTGAAAAATCGGGTTTCACAGACTGGCGGCGGCATCGGAGACAGACGCTGCAGCGCCAGAAGGTGGCACACCACGCCCACTCATGATGATACTGCTCCACAGGGGGGGGGGGGGCGGCGGCTCCACCTCGCGGGCTGGGGCGACAAATTCAACTCCGTCAAGGTTGAGTCTTGGCCAACACGGGAGAAGACGGGCTGCCAGCAGGCCGACGTTCTTGGCAACTTTGAGCTGCCAGTCAACAAAATCAAGTTCAGCGTGAGAGCCTTTGGCGTGCATGTCCACTCCTCGCTTGGCCGCTCTGTCGGCCTCGTCATTACCAAGTTTGAAATACCGCTGATCGGCCGTTAAATCTGGGGAATCCGCAACGTGGGCCTTCACCTTGTGAAGGCTGGTCAATTTAGACTGAAGATTATTAATCATCAGCCCTGCATAAGGCCGCCTGTAGGAGAGACGCTTGGGCCGCTCCATAGGAAAAGCTTTGCAAACATTAAGGCAATCGCTGGAACCTTCTGGGGGCCCCAGGAGACGCAGAGAACCGCATGCCAGGCTCCCGAACTCCGCCGCTTGGGAGGTCTGGGGGAACCTGTCCCAAAAGGGGGGGCCACATGACGCACTGCAAATTCCTGTGATTATCATGTACAGCTAAACCCCATCCTGCCCTGCTTAGTTCCTTAATTGCGTGATTCCTACATGATCCGTCGAAGAACACATCCCCAAAAGTAGTTGCTCATCAGAATCATCGTGCTGAGGAGCCCCCCAATGGACCATAGGGAGACATTCTTTGGAGGGCATCGGGAGGTGCTCGCAGGGTGGGTGAAGATACCTTTCGTGAACAGCACGAACTGGTCGTTCGAGACGGTGGCTAAGTCCACCTCGGAACTCGCCTGTAACACTTCGGGATCACAAAGCTCCTTCCTGAGATCGTCGACCGCAGGACACACCCATAACCTGCGCCACATAGAGTCTGAGGGGCCGCCACACAGAGAACAACGGACCTCAGGGATTTGATATCCGAGGGACGCGGCTTTCTCCTGGGTCCAACAGGCCCCGCAGGCATTGGCACGGATGCGTCCCTTCTCGAAGTAGGAGTATTTCGGGCTCCGCAAGTCTCTGATCACAGCGTCGTAGCATGCACGGCCTTGAAGACCGAGCTTCTGACCTGAAATACGGCAAAGCATCCTGATCACTCCTTCGTGCAGCAACTGCTTGATAAGCTGAGGGGAATTGATGGTCAGGGAATACTCTACACCAAGATCGTTCTTCAGCTGCGCAAAGGATGTCATGGACAAGCCTACACGGCTGAGCGAAAGAAACATGGCGCCCATCGGGCCGCGTACTCTGCGCCACGAGGTTGGTGGGCTAGCCCAGACATCTTCCCAGGCTGCACGAAGCTCACGAAATCCTAAAGCGAACGGAGTCTGCTGCACCTGTGCGTCCCAAACCCCCCTGGAGTAGCGAACGATAGGTGCGATAGAAGCGTGGTATAACGGGTCGTTCTCGAGAATGCACAGGGCCGTAAGGGACCTCGAACTAGCCGATGGTTTGACAGCCTTGCCGAACCCAGTCCCCAAGAGCCCCATCTCATGATCAGGCGTCCCAAAGACAGCCGCCCCATACGTCACCGAGGCCGCAGGCCCAGACACGAATATTTTACGGGAATGACGTCCAAGCGCCTGCCGACATTTAAAAGCCCTCTTGACTCTCTGACGAAAAATCCGAAAACGAGCAGCAGCTTTGCGACCTCGTCCTCTGGCACGACGCGTCTGACCAGCGCCGTCGTCAATGCCAAGGTTGACAGCAGTGTGGCAATCAGCGGAAGGTCCTCCGTACCTCCCTAAGAAAGACTTGACTGCCTGACCGACCCATTTGTCAGAGGATACCACTGCTGCCTTCTCGCCAGAAATATGCGACTCCATGTCCTCTTCGAAGGCAATAAGCAACTCAGTAGAGGCCAACTTCAGCGAGTACACTACAGACTCTCCAGGCCCACTGCTAGATATACCGTAGTCGTCTATGTAGATGTCGAGCTGAACCTGGTAGGGGAGCCTCAGGGGGTCCATCGCGGGGATAACGTATGCCCTAATGTAAGTAGTAGCGAAACTGCAACCTGCAACACTTCCATGCTCACTGAAATGCGGGCCGTGCAAAAGGCCCCCAAGAGATATAAACCGAGCTCCCCCGTAGGCCTTAATCGGGACCCTGTAAATCTCCTCGGGGAAACCTTGAGCCTCACACCGCGCCACGAGCTTAGGAAGCCGAACCGATTCATAGCACTTGTAGAGGTCCCAGAAGACCTTGGCTACCGCCTTTCCTTCCCCCACGGACTGCTCGTTTCTGACGGCTTGCCTGTAGACTAAGTCGGGCGCTGAATTAAAGGAACCCGCTGCTAAGTAGATCCGCCGATGATCGGCTTCCCATCGCTCGGCGCATGGGCGGCGAACTCTCGCCCACAATCGATAATCTGCAGAAAAAAAAAAAAGCCGATCGGCCGATAACCTCCTGCTGGCTTGGCAAGGAGGAGAGTGGTCAATACCTGCGTCTGGTGGGCCATGAGCCCCGTACACTCCATCATGTAGTAGAGCGTGCACAAAACTGATAGGAGGCCTGGTTGCAACGTCGAAAAATGGCGCATGTGGACACCACCCACACTTGTGGCAGTACCTGGTGCGCAGGACTTACTCACAGCAATCAGGTCTTCTGGCGTGAGGGGGCTTAGGCCTTCCAAGTATTCGATGGGCTCCTTGCTAGCCTCAGGAGGGTGGGACTTCGAGTTCCAAAGCTCACCGAACCTAGCCCCCTCGGCCTGGAGGAGCGAAAGAGGGTCCGAGAGGACGAGCCCTTCGGCCGAGAGCGTGGTGGTCGCGACCCACGGCTTCAACTCCTTAGTCCAACGATGGGCATTCCGACCTCCCTTGTCGATGCCGTCTAGAAGCCAGCTACGCCACGCCTTCAAAGATCGCTGCGAGGAAGCCCTAGCATACTCATCCAATCTGGGTTCAAGAAGAGCTTGACAATCAAGAAGACCTCCCGACTCAGCATGAACACCCTCGAGCCCCAGGACCAGATCTGAACACTCACGATATAACTCCAGGAAGTCTCCCAAAGGACTGACACTATCTTGAGGCGCCTCCAGGATGTGATGTTTGTATTTGTTGAAAGTCAAAACGTCACCGTCGGCCATGGCGCCAAAGAGAAACCGAATGGAACGAGATAGCCATCTACCAGCGAACAGCATGGGGTCCTTGTAGGGGGCCTCGGAGTCCCTGTCGAGCGCCGAGACCCAGGCCAGACGAGGCCGTCTGCCCCTAGTACCCCAAATAGGCAGGTCCGTCTGGAGGACCTGAGACAATTCCCACTCGGCGGTATCAGCCCAGAGACGACACAGCGTGCCGAGGTGCCGCTGCACTTGGCCTCTAGGGGCCTTCCGAGCAACAAGATCCATGCCATGATTGGCGCCGTCCAAAATCTCCGAGAGGTCAGGGGGATGAGGCTGCGGGCCGACTGGCCTCTCTGCTGGAAGCTTCGGGGGCTTCAGGAACTGGAGGGCCTTGGGCTCAGCCAACTGCGGGTGGAAGAGGATGCGCGCGGGGGTGTGCGTCTTGATATCGGTGCCGAGCACCGTCTCGACAGACTGCAAGCAGCGGCTGAGGCCTGCAGACAAGATGAAGAAGTCAAACGTACGAACTCCTCCCGTGCTAGTACATGTTCCATCCTTAGTGAAAATGATGTTAGACTTCAGCCAGCCTGGCACTGCCGAATCGGCCACAACTTCAGGTGTCATGTTGAAATCACCTACGATGCAATGTGGGCCAGCAAACTCGCTGTGCCGAGATCCGACTGCTGATAGGATAGCGAGGTTCCTGTCAGAGAGGTCCTCACTGTCATGTAGATATAGGGCCGTGAACAAAGTTTGCGGAGCTCCAGGGACCGAAACAATACCACTCAGGGCTCTGTGGGGAACGACGACAGCCTCAAAATCGGGATCGTGAAATCCCAGATACTGCCGTACCAAAATCGCCACCCCTCCAGAGGAACCCCCCTCGCTGGTTCGTAACGCTGGAGCGAATCTAGATTTCCATCCCCTCTTCAGTGCCCACTGTCCTGCCTTCGCGATGTCGTCAGCACTAACCAAGCGATGTTCCTGAACCAGGAGTACGTGCGAAGTCGAGGATTCTACCCAGGACTCAATCGATGACCACGCCGTACAATTGATCGTCTCGACTGCTAACTGAAACGCGCAGGCAGGGCAGGGGGACACATATAAAAACTTAGAAGGGTCAGATGGAAGGGCTCCTTCAGAAGGGAGCCTAAAACATTTGCTGGTCAGCTTGCTGGCCGACGAGGGAGAGAGGCTGTCAGAACTGCTCGAAGTCTGCTCAGCCGATGTCGCCGACGAGGGAGCCCTCGCCGATGAACTTTCTGACGATGTAATTCCGAGAAACGAATCGGGCGCCGGTGGGGATGAAGACGTGGCCGATGGACCACTTGGAATATCGGATGAACCATGAACATGAGGGCCCCCCTGCCGCCTACGCGACGACAGGGGGGACTGCCTGCTGAGGTAGTGGGCCCAAAAGCTTGTCTGCAGTCTCCAAGAGCGCCGTGGCCGACGAGGTCGACGACCCCTGTCCAGCACTGCTACTCTCCTTCGCTGCCGTGCCCTCAGGTGCCACTCCACCAGCTCCGTCATTAGATCCTGCGGCACCTCCAGCCCTTGAATCGGCGGCACCACTTGTAGCTTCACCTTCGTTATTCTTGCGCTTCTTGCCGGGGCAGAGGACGTGAGCCTTGTGCGCGCTCTTGAGCTCTTCGATATTTTGGGAAGCCTGGCCGAAGAGGTCTTGGCGGCGTTGGAGATCTGCTCGCGTAGCTGCTGCGATCTGGCTGCGAGCTCCCCTCGATCTGAATCTTGAATATCGTAGACGTCGCCATCGACCCCGAAAGCGCTCTCGACGCTGGAGAGGTCGAGGAACTCCCCGTTGCCGCTGAGCAACTCCTGCAGCGTGACCTGGGTCTTCTGCTGGGTCGGATCTGGCGCACATAATTGGCTGGAGAGCTGCTCCACCAAGCCTTCATACTTAGCAACCTCATCACGTAGTTCGACTCTGATCTTGGCAATAGGTTCCCTTTTGTCGTCAAGCCAATTCTTCCATCGCTCATACTGAACCATGTCGGCATTGAGCTTCTTCTCAAGCTGTTTGATGTGGCGGTCGACCGTGGACACCTGCGTCTGGAGAGGAATGGGCTCCCCAGCGGACCGACGCTGATCGAGGCGAAGTTGGTATGCCGTAGCCACACTCTGATTGCCCATATTCTTGTTGAGCTCAATGAGCTGCTGGATTTCGCCGTCCGATAGAGCTTCCTGGTTCCCAATGATGGCTGCTGGTGGGGGTCCACGCCCTTGAAGCCCAACGGGCGCGGGGTCGGCAGATCCTCCACCTTGGGGCCGCTCCCAGACGGTCCACTGATCTCCAGCATCTCCATGAAGTAGTGCGACGTCGCAATCTTTCTTCTTGCCACCACATTGTTTGCAATGCCAGAATCTCCCCAAGTTCTTGGCGCAGCCACAGCGCCCGCACTTCCAAGGAGAACCATGACCGCTATGATGGCCGAACCAACCCGCCCAGTCGCCGCCCTTGCGACGCGACGGAGCCATGGCGAGAGAAAAGACCTGGTTGTGATTGCCTCTGGTTTGGCGGTCTCCCTCGGACCACTCTCGAGTAGTCCCCCTTGAGCCAAAATGGCTTGAGCCAAAATGGCTACGGACCCACTCCTGAAGAGAAACCAGCGCCCGGGGGACCTGCCATTCGGGCGAAGGCCCCGCGTTGAAGCGCCACCCGGCGAAACGCCCTTCAGACCAACTGAGGCGCAGAAGTTTCCAAATGTCCCGCACGTGCAGACGACGAAGGCGACGTTAATGAGGGCGGTCATGATGATGCTGCGGACGATAGCTGAGACGGCGCTCCACGACCCCCTTCTGAGACACTGGGGAGATCTTTGTTTTTGGAGGGAGAACATGGGAGCGGACCAAATGCTTCCACAGCTGACGCCAATCTCTTCACTGGGGGCTGTGGCGGACAAACAACTCGCACTACAAAACACAACTATTCAACCAACAACTCGCGCGCAAAGAAATAATCGCCGAGACGATTTTTCCAGAGGGAACAATTGCGCGACGAGAGTCGGCAACACTCCAGCGCAGACAAGTAAGCAAGAGCCTGCAAGAGCCCGGGACTGGGGGGACAGAAGGAGGGAGGAATGGGAGGAAGAGCAAGGAGGAGGACGAGGAAAAGGAAGAGATGAGAAGCACAGACCGTGCGGTGGCAACCTCACGGAGACAATGGGGAGATCTCAATGAACCGCGCGGGCCGTGGAGTCGTTCGGCCCCCATCCCGTCTTAGAAGGGGCCGAGCGACCCCGCGGTCGCGCCGGGGAGAAGAGGATGGAAGATGATGCCGATTTGTCTTATCCTTCGGCGGCCCGGCGCTCGCGAAGCATGGCGCGCCGCGGGCTGGGCAGCGCCGCGATCTCAATCGCGCCGCGGCCAGGCGCAACAGGCTGGGCAGCACCGTTGTCGCGAGAGGATGGGCGCGACAGGCTAAGCGGCGCCGCGCTCGGAGAGATGCATGGCTGATTGCCGGACTTTGGCACCGAAGCACTGCGCGGGATGCGCGACTCAGAACCGCCCTGGAAGGGCGCGCCGCCGAACGCCTTCGCGACGCACTTGCCGGTCTCATCGAAAGATCCTGGAGTTGACGCTGAAAAAAACTGTCGGTTGTCCACCAGCGCGGCCCATCGCGTCGTTTCTTGGGTGGTCCATGGCACTGTCCAAATACCCCGGGGCTGGGTCGCATTCAGAGTCGCCGTCGTCTCTGTGAACCGCCTGCCTGCGTCAGCTTGAAAGCGGCGGCTACGAGTCCGCGACTGCGTCGGGCAGCGTCGCGAAGCTCCCAATGAATCTCGCGCGGTTTTCCGAGTCAACAACGCCAGGAAACAAGTCCGCGACAAATTCTGAAACCGCGTCCTTCGCCGCGTTTCCAGTAGCGTCAGGGTAGGCGCAGAAACGGAGCACTTCAGCAACCAGCGCGCGGTCGCTCGTGTCAATTACATTTTGGGGAGCCGCAGTTCGGCCTACAGTCCCCAACTTCCCAAAAAAGGTTGACCGTCCCCTATTGCTCTCGAACACGCCCAAGCGGCCACTTAGCAAAAGGCGGTCTAGTTTCGGGGCCGGGGACGGCAATCAAAACCCCAATATGTGTGGTGACCACAATTTCTGAGCCGATCTAGCTTAGGCCATGTGCACCGCTACTGTGAGGCCCGATGAATTGAGATCTACCCGTGACAATGACTGCGCGGGCACTGCGGGGCCGCGCAATTCCCAATGGCCCGCCGAGAACCACCTTGTCAGCCACCTGAGGGCAACGGTCGGGACCGCTGGAAGCAAACTTGGGAATGAACACGTCCTTCCTCCTGACGTTCCTGAAGGTTCTGATGAACTCGATACCTTGCATCGCACTCTGCAGACGAGCCGCTGTGAAGGAATGAGGCCCCTCTTGGGGCCATCCAAGACAGCCTGGGATGGCCCCAAGAAAATCCCAGGAGGGCCACAAGATGGCTGCAAAACGGCCTCAGGGGGGCCAAGATGGCCCCAGGAGGGCCCCAAGAGTGCCAACGACGGCAGCACCCGTCGGGGGCACTCTTTGGGGCATTTCTGGGACCCTTCAGGCCCCCATTGGGGCAAGCTTGGAACCATCTTGAGCCCTCTTGGGGCCTTCTTGGGGCCCTCCAAGGCCGTCATGGAATGTGCCAGGAAAGCCCTCGACGGATGCTACAACGGACCCCCCTGTTGTAGCATCCATCCGAAGCCCTTTTGGGGCCCTTTGGGGACGCTTTTGCCCCCCATCGGGGCCGTTTTGGAGCCATCTTGGGGCCCTCTTGGGCCTCCTTGGGCCCCTCCCGCGCCGTATTGGAGGGCCCTTTAAAAGCTCACCGACGGCTGCTACAACGGACCCGCTTCTGTTGTAGAATAGCTCGAAACTGAAAATCGACGGGAAGCAGCTCATGGACTGGGCCTCGGGGGCGGGAAAGACGGGCAGCCGATGCCTCCCGACAAGGGGCCACATACAGACCAGCACTTAGCGGCGGGGGCGCGGTGCACGTCGGGTGCGGGCGTCGCGCCCCCGACGCCATGCAACGGATGCTAGCCCGCCCAGGCGACCTCACGCCAGTAGGCGAGCACACGGGCTACCCGACCTTGAAGCAGCAGCTAGGGAGCTCGAATGCATCCAACGCCGACTATGGAGAGAGAAACGCCGAAGATATAACCAACCATGGGCCTGGCCAATCGAGCTCACCATCATGCTTTTGCACCCGCAGTACCGGACGCGACCAGGAGCACAACGAGTGGGGCTGGGCCATGCCACCGCCGACTACCACTACGCCGACCCACTTGCTACGCGGGTGCACCAACCCCAGAAGCGGAAGCTCACGATCGACCACGACATCCGCCACGCCATCATCCAGTCCTTCGCAATTCTGCCAGCCCGCATCCACCGATGTGGCTCACCTGCCCAGGCCTTCACCAGCCAGGCGGTAGCCATCGGCAAGCAGGGCAAGAGCCCCACTGAGAACGTGATTCAAAATATGCATTCATGCGTACGTTGATTACATTGCTTCGATCAGGTTGGGAGACTGTATCTTAGTGTAGGTCGTGTCCAATACGGGCCCCCCCTGCTCGCCGCCACCGTGGGCATACGGAGTGATATACGCACGCCGCCGCGAGCCCTTGATGCTCATTCCGAAACTTCTCATTTGGAAGTTGCGAGCAGCCTGTCTTTCTTTCCTTCTTATGACATGCGCAATGCATTCGCCACGGGTGCCCATGTGCGGTTGGTGGCAGCACGCGCAGCTCGATGTGACGACGACCATGTTCAACTTTTACTTGAGCAGCACCGCGCCAAAGCAGTCGCGCAGCTCAATGCGTCTGACTCCAGTATCGCCCGTCGGCCAGGGACGGGAGGAAGGATGGGGGACTCAAACGAACCCGAGCTTTTCATGGAGTCTTTTTACCCTTTGGTTTCCCAATGGTGTCAGGAGATGGCCGATGTCCAGGGAAACCCGTTTCAGAACCAGTGCCCGTTCTCCGCCGAATCGTTCGACGCGCACGTCGGCGCGTTCATCGACGATGTATTTAAAATTCGCCTGGTGTCCGACGGCGCGGCCTTACAAGCGCTGCAGATTGATCAGATCGACAACAACACGCTCTCGAAGGCCCTGGAGGCTGGCGGCTATGCCCAGAACATCAGTAAGCAGGACAACCTGGTCTCCCCGGGCACTCACGAGGCCACCAAGGATGTCGAAAGGAATATCTCGGGGAACGCGGTCCAAGACTTGATCCATCTTGGACGATATGTACATGCCGCCAACAATAACCGTCGTGAAGTCGAGACTCGAATCCAATCTGGGAAAGTGGGATGATGCAGAAAGGGGGACTACTGGTTCACTGGAGGCCCCTGGAAGGCTAAACGGCCATCATTTGTTTCAAATGTTGCGGGACGCGTCTGGTCAGGCCTCGAGAGCTACGTATGGACCCCTAGGGAACTCCATCGACTGGACAGTTCACTTGCACGTAAAGTACGAGCTATGATGGGAGGCGCCGCGCACCAGGAAGATGAGCAGTGTGTACATCGGTCACTCACTACCCGCCAGATTTTTACCGAGTGGCAGATCGCTCCATCGGCAATTGAGCTTCTTGTGCGCAAGCTAAACTGGTGGCAGAACATAACCATGTTGCCCGGCCACAATGGTTAATTTCTCACTTCTTTCTTTGGCAGATGCAAGTTCGAGCAGCAGGCGGCCATAAGCAACCGCCCCGTCAATGCTGGCACCCTCAATGCGCAGGGCGAGATCTCGACTGACCCGAACGTGCACCCGTGGGCAAAGCAGCTCGCGGACGATGTATTGTGCCTGGCCTCCCATTCGATGGGCGAGAGTTTCCAGGAAGCCAGGAGGAGTGGCAGCCTCGAGTTGTAAAACACCTGTGGGAAGATGACTGGGTCCGTGAGGCTTTCTTGAACTGTGACGTTCGGGCCCTCAGGTCTTCATAGTGGACGTCTCAATGGGCGCCTCCTGAAGCCAGCACTATCAGTACCTCCCTCCCCTCGGCGGCGACGTACGATGAGACGGACACCGATGACGAATCGAGCTGCCCCTCCGTGTGTAACATCAACATGTGCAGGAAGCGGTTCGGAACGCTCACACAAACCAAATTTAGGGAGCAGGGACATGGGTTGCCTTCGGTTCTCATTACACTTCAGATTGAAAACGAATGTACTGTGTGCCAAACGACACCCCCTAAAACAAATCACGCAGTACAACATTTACGACGAGCATGGCTGGCAGGCAGGTGTATCCAGAACTTGCTCATCATGTATATCCATGGACACCTACAACATATACATTATGTCCATTACGTGACTATGCCC